CACCCCCACCACACACACACACATGCACACGCAACCGCACACGAAGAACTCTGCAGATCAGCACCCTCCTTCACTTCAGTGGAACACATTACCCACATTACAATTTATTCTGCCTCCTCTTCCTCGCTCCTTCCTTTCTGCCTCTTCCCAGCACCTTCTATGCCCTGGATGAGTCACCAGCCCCTGTTCCTAGCCTGGTGGGCAGCAGACCTAGAAGGGGAAATCAGCCAGCGTGCCGTGAGGGTGCCAAGGGTCTTTGCTGGCTGAGGCCTGGCGGGCCCGGGGGCTGAGGGGTCAGGCTGGGCCTCCACACACTGCACAGGTGCCATCCCTGGCCCTAAGACATCTTCTCCCATTTGAGGCCGGTCAGGATAGCACTTCTCCAGCCAGATTTGCTGAGTGCCCTGGAGCAGGGGCAACTTCACCTCTGTGCCACTGCAGGAAACAGCGGTGGATTCCTGGACTCCACACAGCGCTCTGAGAGAGCCACCCCTGGGTGAGGGAGCCCTTCTAGCTCCTGCTCTTGCGACCCCCTCTGGTTCCCCCAAGGACTTCTGGTTGGTCGGTGTCCCCACTCTCTGGCTCCTATGGCTCTTTCGTTTCCCTCCTCATCAGATGGGGAGGGTTACACGTCATCATCACCTCTCTTCCTCTCAGATGAGCTTTAGCACAGTTTCCCTTGGCTTCGTTCCTGCTTTCAGTCCTACCCGTGGCACCCTGAGACCCATTTGCTTCCGGTGCAGGCTGTAAGGGGAGGGGCTGGCTGCTGTTTAAATCAGCCTGGTAGGAAGGGCGTTTTGAGCTCCTCAAACTCTGAGCCAGGAATTCTCAGGCTGTGGTTTCACAGACAAATTCCCTGTCCTTCATTTTTCTGCAGGGTGACCAGGACCACTTTGTGGGCCCAGAGAGGACACATCTAAACGCAGAATGATAAAGATGTTCAAGAAGTCAGCTCTTTAATATCAGGGCAGGGACAAAGTCAAAAGAACAGAAGGTATCACTCCTTGTAGTGGCAATTACCTTAATTAACTTTCTGGGCTGTGCAGGATCGATGCCCTGGGTGGGAATTAATTTATGGCCTCTGTCGCTGCAGCTGAGCGAGACTGGGAAATGAAGGCGGGGGAGGCCAGGGCAGTGGCATCCTAACCAGGCTCCTGACATCATTTAATAGATCCGTTCCACACCATGGGTTTATTAATGCTTTGTCTCCACTTCTGATCTTTTCTGAAAGTGGGCAGGGTATAAATTAGAAATGAATTTGTAAATAAAATATTTGGTCAAAATTGGACAAGTTACAGTGGCAGGGGAAATATTGCAATAGAATGTGATTAAAATGTGTCCCCTCATTTCTTGGGGTAGCGAGAGAGAGAGGCCAAAGGAACACAGAGATCCTTGAAATTCCCATTTCAAGGAAGAATGAAGAGCCCTGCCAGTTGGGTAGTGCCTACTGTGTGTTAGCCAAAGACAGTGGGACGACTCATTCCTGCCAGTTACCACGAGTTCTTGGCAGTTCCTGGCAAGGGGTCCTGGTCAGACAGGAAGTGAATGGCAGCCTTGGCTCTCATTGCTGCTTGCTGCCAGTTAACCAGGTGACAGTGAGCAACCCTCCTTGGATCCTGTTTTCTCTACACAGTGGGGATAATTAAACTTCTAGTGACACACTGAGCCATAGGAGTATGACGCATAAGTAAAAAAATCAGTAAAAATCTCCATTAAAAAATTTTTTTTTCCAAGTCAAAAATTATATTATACCTTTTTCCTGATCAGGGTTGTATGGTAACATGTAGATTTAACTAGCATCCATTTAAAATTTTGATATTAGGGCTGAGGATGTAGTCTGCCTGGCAAGCACAAGGTCCTGAGTTTGATCCTTGGTACCGGAAAAAAAATGTTAAAATTTTGATATTGTATTTATTGTGGATACTTGGCATAAATTTTAACTTAAAAATCCCTCTTGGTATATATAAAAATTGAAAGCAGGGATTCAAACAGATATCTGAATATTTCTGTTCATAGCAGTATTATTCCAGTGGTCAACAGCTGGAAATAACCTAAGTGTCCAGCCATGGAGGAATTATTATAAACCAGGTGTGGTGTATGTATACAGTGGAATATTATTCAGCCTTAAAAAGGAAGGAAATTCTGACACATGCTGCAAGATGAACTTTGGGGAGGTTGTGCTGAGTGAAGTAAGCCAGACACAAAAGGACAAATACTACATGAGTCCACTTCTGTGAGCTCCCTAGAGTACATATTCATAGAGACAGGAGAGAGAGTGTGGGAGCCAGGGGCTGGGGATGGCTGAGGATGGTTGAGTTCTTACTTCATGAGCAGAGAGTTTCAGTTTGGGAAGATGAAAAGAGTTCTGCAGATGGATGGTGGTAATTGGTGTGTAATGATGAATGTACTTATCACTACTGAATTGTACACTGAAAAATGGTTATGGTGGTAATTTTATGTCATGTGCATTTTACCACAATTAAAACAAGTATAGAACTTAAATATGATTTACTTCATGACTGAACTGCTTACTCAGGCTCTGTTAACTTCTGTGTTTTATGGAAGGAAGACAATGCATAAGAAATGCTAAGGAAGGGCCGGGGATTTAGCTCAGTGGTTTCGCCGCCTGCTGCGCAAGCGCAAGGACCGGAGTTCGATCCCCGGTACCAAAAAAAGAAAAAAGAAAGAAAGAAATGCTGAGGAAGTGTTCTGGACTCTCCAGCGTGGTAACTGTTGAATTCACGCATGCCCAAGCAAGAGATGAGAAGCGGTGGGTTTCTGAGCTAAGCACGGGCTCTGGACCATGCCGCTGCACCGTGGTTTTGCAGGCTCAGCCAGACTTGACAGGAGTCCTGCCAGCAAACAGCAGTTGGAAGATTGGAATGCAGAGGAGATTTCCCTCGGTGGACTGGCTCATTTGTTCGCTTGTTGGCTTTATGCATTTCTCTCCCGAATGCGTGGCAGTCTGGCCGCCACCCTCGTCCCTTTTATCTGCGTCCTGGTCCGGGTGCACCAGAGCCACTCTCAATGAAGTGAAAACTCTGGGAAGCCACATGGACTCTGTTCCGTAGCTGTTCCACTCAGAAGCCATGAGGAAGCTGGGTTTGGTGGCACACACCTATAATCCCAACGCTCTGGGAAGCAGAGGCAGGAAGATTGCAAGTTTAAACCCAGCCCAGGCCACTTAGTGATTTAGCAAGACCTATCTCAAAAGCAAAAAAAAACCGGCTGGGGTTGTAGCTCAGTTCGAAGGCTTTTGGGCTCAATCCCCGGTACCACACAAACAAACAAAAGCCAGAAACGGGAAGTCATGTGGAACATAGGAAGCACACCAGTCTGCTTCTGCTAACAGTGAAAATAATAAAACATAATAAAAAGATGACAATACCAACCTTTCAAAGGTTTTGGGACGAAGCCATCTATCTTCCTTCTTGCTCACAAACTGTGGCCCCAGTGGCCTGGCTGGGCAGTACTTGCACATCTGTGTTCTCCTCGTCCTGGAGCAGGTTTGCTCCCACTCTGGGACAGTCTGCTGATGTTGGCTGTGTGACCACAGACACTGGCGCAACCCCTGCCAGGTCTCTGCAGCATCCACACCTCGACTTCCCATGGTTTAGATTCTTGGCATCAGCCCCTTCTCTCCTTCAACCTTTTTGCATTTCCGAACCATGGGCCACACTTTCTGCTCAGTCCCTAACTCGAAAGCAGGATGGGCCGTTTCTGTCCACCCTAGGCTGCACAGCCAGCCCAGCCCCACCTCAAACCTGCCCAGGTGCCTCCAGGCCCACACCCTTCCTTCTAGATTGTCTCGTGCGCAGGCACATGAAAGAATAAACCAATGTCTCTCTCTTTTTTTGTATCAGGGAACTGAATCCAGGGAGGGCCTTTGAACTGAGCTACATCCCCAGTCATTTTTTATTTTTCATTTGGGGACAGGGTCTCAAGAAGTCCTTAAATTGCCCAGGCTGTGATTCTCTTGCCTCAGCCTCTCAAGAGTGCTGAGATTCCAGGTGTGGACCACCACGCCCAGCTCCATCTCTGTATCTTTTGCTGATGGGAACTGCAGGGTTTGAATAGACTGACTGTGGCCTGTACAGTTCTTTGCAAGAGCATCAGGAACCACTTTCCAGAAAGAGCCAGATAGCAGGTTTGGGCTTTGCAGGGCAAACCCCTCTGATGAATCTGCTCAACACTGCCGTTCTGGTGAAGCAGCCACATGGTACACCCATAGGGACACGCCTGGCTGTATGCCAATAAAATGTTATTTATGGACACTAAAATTTGAATCTCATAATTTTCATGTGTCATGAGATAGTTTTGGTATTTGTAATACATTCTTTTGATTTTGTAAAAGTCATTACAGCTGTGAAAACCACTGTTAGCTTGCAGGCCACACAAGAGGCAGTGGACCAGCTTTGTCCCACAGACTGAGGTTTGCCAACCCCAGCCCTGGCAGAATGAGCTCCAAATAGGACTGTGGTGTTCACAGCAAGAACCATGAGGGTCCTGTCTGCCAGCCACATCTGCTTTCTGTTTCTGAGGTCCAGGTAGTTACAGTGGGGTTTGGGGAGGACGAGGAGCTCAAATGATGTCGCACCGCATGGCCCTGTGTCTCTAACCTCTAAGCCCTGCTTCCTGGTGTTCTTTGCAGAAAAATCCAGCATAAGAAACCAGAGCCCTGTGGCTGGGCTGCTTCAGCACTTCATTGGCACTGGATTCTTAGCGTGCCTGACTCTAGAAATACCCCTCCTATTTTTAACACCCTTGCCTACTCAAGAGGGTTTCCAGTTTCATCCCAAACAATCCCAGGGCCCAGACATACAAGTTGGAATTCAGAACCTATACGCCACATTGGTTCTCTTCTCCTCTCCACCCCTCCCCGCAAACATCATCACTGTCCCTGGGGACACATCTTCCTCTGGGGTCTGGGGCCCTCGGGCTGCGGCCTGAATCCAACCAATTGCTATGCAAGGCGCAAGGAAAACAGGGTTTTCTGAGAGCTTTTATTTCAAACCACAGTCAGATTCTACCCAGTTAAAAATGCCCCTTAGGGCTCCTGGATACCAAGGAAGGATATTTATTTTGTCACGGAAGAAAGAGGTACTGGCTCTCTACACAGGGGACACCCAGAATGGGTAAAGGAACACAGGCTGTCCCTGAAAGGTTGTTAAAGACCATAGGAGCCAGCTTATCATAGGCAGCGGGCACAGCGGGGACAACCTTACGCCCTCTAGAAGGTGGGGGCCCTCCAAACACTTGTGCACCTGCTGGCTTTTCTCCCTCCAACCCTGGGCAGGTCTGGCTCATGTCCACTTTCTCATGAGAGGAGCTTGTTGCAGCCCAAAGAGTCGCTTAGAGAGGGGAAGCAGCCCACAGCTGTTGTAGGTAGGGCAGAGGGGAAGGGGCAGATGTGAAACTCCTGCCTCCTCTCTAGAAGGTTCTGGGCTGGGACTAAGCTTCCCGAGGTCTAGTGCTCAGGTTCCGCATCCATGCAGGACTCCCAGGGGTTCTGGGGCATTCGAGGCAGGGAGAAGAGCAGGAGGGCAATGCCACCGAGGAAGAGCAGGATGAAGGCAGCACAGGCGCAGGCAAAGGACCAGGAGTAGAAGTACTTGATCCAGACGGTGTCCTCACTGTCAATCATGCGCTTCACCGACTGCCGCAGGACCTCCACTGAGACCAAGATGCAGAGCCCTGGGGACAGACCCAGGGGCATTCAGGAGCCGAGGGCACTGCTGCTACCACCCCCAGTCTGCCGGGCCTACAGCTACTGCGTGGGGGAGAAGGTAGTGACTTTGGCCTGGTTGAGGCAGGGAGGGGTGACTGGGAACCTGCAAGACCCCCCCCACCCCATGCTGTGGTCATGTCCTGCCGGAAGGCTGCCATGAGATGGACCACATTTCCTCCCGTCTTTTGGTTAATTGCTCTCTCGGAAATTTCCTCAGTGCCTGGAGGATAGCGTCATTGTGCAAAATGGATGGAATAGCAATATCTTTCTCTCTTCCAGGGCTCCTGGGGTCACTGAGGACCCAGCCAAGTTTGTCTCTGCTCAAGCCCTGAGGTAGGTGTGAGCGCAGAGGGGGACCCGGGACATCATCTACCTGCAAAGGCGTAGAACATAGATGCTGGCCGCAGTAGGTAATCCCGCTTCTTGCGGAAGGACAGGAGCGTGCAGATGGTGCCCACAATGATGAAGCCAAGGCTGAAGATGCCGATGGCCGCTGCTGAGATGCTGTATTCTGAAAAACGGAGGGGGCTTCAGGCATGGGGCTCATCCCCACTGGCTGGTTGTACCTTTAGCCAGACTAGTGACAATTCCCATTTCACACCTGACTGAGACTCACTCAGTCACACTTGGGGAAGGGCTGCAGTCAGGGGTTAACAGGACTTATCCAACCCACCCCCTCCCCTGGGGCAGAGGCCGGGGCAGGAGGTGGAGAGGCTTGTGGCCAGAGTCTTTTCTAGAGCAGAGATCTTCCTCCAAGTGACAGGCAGAGGAGGCACTGAGGCGTGGGAGGTATGACAAGGGACTTCTAGAAGAACAGAGTGTGGGTGTTACTTAGCATGTGTGAAGGTGTGTGAGGGTGTCTCCTAGTGCTGTACGAGAGATCTGCTGGTGTGTGTGTGTGTGTGTGTGCGCACATGTGCACGCGCCTGTCTGAGTAGGCACATGCACACTATGTGCAGCCATCCACGCATGTGCAGGCCTGGTCTGAACACCGCACCGCGTGTGCCTCTGAGCTCCATCTTGTGAAGGAGCACAACGGTTCCTCCTGGTTCCCAGGGCATGATTTATACATGAGGGACTTGACTGTTCCCCTGCATGTATGGACCCAGTCCCAACCCCCAAAACCTTCTCTAGGACTCTGACCACTTGTTCCGTTTTCTTAGCTCCTGTCACAGCAGCCTGCCCCAGGCTGTGTTGGAAAACATGCTCCTGCCGAAACTTAGAGCTACCAGGAAATGTCTTCTTTACTAGCTGTCCTCAGTGCCGATGAACATGCTCTGGGCACCTAGAGAGGGTTGCTGCCATTTGTGGCCCCAGAACGGGGAGGTGGCAGGCTGCTCAAGTGCAGCAGGGGAAGTCAGCACTTTTCTGACTCCCTGGCTCAGCAGTGTGTGACAGCAGTCGCTTCACACTACCCGCTCCCTTGTCTGCTGCGGGCTCACCCTTCTGAGTGGTGAATTCGAAGATCTCCGAGCTCTCGCCTGGGTTGAAATGTCTGAAGTAGGAACAGTTCTTCTCTGCAAAGAAGGGAGACAGCCTGTGAGTTGGGATAAAGGACCAGAAGCCAGGACAGAGGCACAGAGAGAACGTGGCACCATCCTACTGGCACAGAGGAGACTGCTGGCCAGCTCTCTTCCCCCAAATCCTGAATCTGGGCCAAAACACTTCTCTGACGCTTTGAAGAACATTTCAGCAGGATAATGGGGTTGCATAAGAAGCTAGGCAGTCCTCAGGGAGCAAAGACTGCAGGAGTTGATGGGGCAGACAGCATGTGACTAAGGCAGATAGGGTAACCAAGGGGGAGGCTCACGTCATTTGTCAGAAGAGCAGAGTACACGAGTAACAACAAAGAACCTAACAGCCAGGCCGATGCCTCTCCCCAAGGGACACTGGGCAATGCCTGGAGACATTTTGATACAGAATAGGATATTCCTGGCATCTAGTAAGTAGAAGCCAGGGATCCTACAAATACCCAGGACGCCCCCCCCCTCGCCCCAACATAGAATCATCCCGCCCCAAACGTCATTAGTGTCTAGGCTGAGGCTTGGGACCAACCCAAAATCTAGAGCTGTGTTTCTTGTCAGACTCCAGGCCTGCCCTGATTCTCTGGGAGTTGTAGGAAGCAGCATTTTTTGAAAGCATTTCAGGAGATTCTGATGCTCAGCCAGGTTGGGAACCCCCGCTGGGGGCCTCTTAAAATGCCCTGCAAGGGCCGCTAAAGAACCTCCTTCTGAAGGCTGAATTCTGACTGTCTCATTTCATCAGACCTGTAGGGAACAGGGAAAGGGGACGTTACTAGAACCTCTGCAGTAAGTCCTAGTCTTCTGTGAGCCACGGCAGCACAAGGCAAATTACAGGAAAGGTAGACAAATGAGACTGAGAAGAAGCTGAGCTTTGGGTCTGATCAGTGCTGCTCTGGGCGGCAAAGACGAAAGACCCCAGCTTACCGCACCTTTTATTCAGTACATCGGGAGAAACAGATGTAACAAATGACTTGCAGAGAGTTCAGTACATCCTGCGTAAATACGATGTAACAATCCAAGATCAAGGAGGAACTGAGTAGATGTTTGTTCCTCCCAGGATGTTTTCAGCTCCCGGGATGTTTCTTGTCCTGGAGAATCACAGCATCACCGGATCATGGAGGTCTCAGTTGGGACCGGAGGCCAAAATGGAATTATGTCTCAGAATTCTATAGCTGGGCTGTAGGCAGGAGAACTAGGCTAACCAAATGATTTTACCCTAAAATTATGTAGCATTGCTCCCAACACAGACCTGCAGGGCCTGTGCCTGGGTGCAGCCCAGACACGAGCTTCCCTGGTGAGTTTCCTGGTCCACCTGATCATTGTCATAGAAGCCACAGAAGGTCTGGGGACAATAGGACCCCAAATCTGGATTTGATGGGGAGACAAGAGAGAGGTTCAGCACAAAGAAATTCACACTAATTTTAAATATAATTCACTTGCATTTTCCCCTTTAGTCTCTGTCTCGTAACTAGACATACCATGACATCCAAATAAAGTCTTATCGGTTGCTGAATATGTTTAATATTCTTCACTACTGATTTAGGAACTTGCTGAATGGATTGTTTTATATTATTTTATGTTTCTTTTTTTAAAAAACTATATTAGATTTCTTTTTATTTGTGTGAGGCCCTTCATTGATTTCTTTTTCTTGTGGGCCCAAGACCCTCAATAGAAAAACATCTCTGCCTTTAGTGTAAATGGAATTTGGAATTCATGCTTCACCTTTAGGCTCCATATGCATGATCAGAAGGAGGCGGATGCCCAGTTGCTTCTGAAAATCTACCCCAGGGGCTACCAAAGTCACATTTTTGTGTTTTTTTTGGTACCAGGGATCAAACTCGGGTCCTTGTGCTTGCGCAGCAGGCGGCGAAACCACTGAGCTAAATCCCCGGCCCAAAGTCACGGCTTTTGTTGGGATGAAAGCTTCCTTCTGTCTGGCTGCATCATCTGATTGCCACTTTTCCTGTGTTTCCTACTCTTTCCCCCTCCTCCAGAATCAGGGCTGCTGCCTGTCCCAAGCTTCAGGAAGGAGACGATGCTGGCGTTGGAGCCCGGGGTAGCAGTTCCGAGCAGTGAAGAGCCTCCTCTGTGAGCATCTATATTTAAATCATTTTCCTTCCGAGCTGAGTTACCTGGAATGCCTGACGGCTGGTGGTGATGTCAGAATCAATCCTGTGTTTTTCTGTCTCCCAGCCCCCACTGCTATTTTAAAGCATAATGTGAACCTCTTATATTTGTTAGATTATTAGCTGTAGATTCTCTTTAGTCTCCGCTTCAAAACAGCTCAAGCGATGTCATAAGTCTCCCAGAGTCTCTCTCTGGACAAAGGAACATTTCTGTTTCGTTCTTTAAGAGCCAATTTCAGTTGTCATTGAAAATCCTCTGAGAAGAATTGAGTGCATTCAAGTGTATTTCACGGTCAGCTGCCTCCCTGGCTTCTCGCTATCTGTGAGTTAAAAGCCTTCCGAGCTGGGGGCTGAGTCCAGGCCACCTCGAAGGTGTAGCCAGGCACAGCTGAGTGGTCCTTCTGGGCTGCTGAGATGACTCGCTGAGGGAGCCTTTGGAGCAGCCCTTCCGGTACGCACAGGGCTCCCCTCTGGGAACAGGGACTGGCAACTGCTGCTGGGTGTTGGGATAAAAACTCTGAGCTCTGGTGTGCCAGGGTAGGCCAGAGGTCTGTGAGGGTGAGGCTGTGCCCTTTGGAGGGAGTTTTTCCTTGGTGGTCCAGGCACAATGTTTCCCTCGCTCTTTTCCTCTGTGAAATACCCTGAAATGGGGAAGAGGGGACGCCGGGCATCCAGTGGATAAGATTCCTTCTCAGGGCTCTGGAAGCCTGTTTCTCTCTGATGTGACTGGACTTGGGGCCCAAGGATGGCAGCCCGATCTCTCTATCTCTCTGTCATATTCCTTCTCTTCCTCTCTTCCTCCCTTCCTCCCTCTCTCCTCCCTTTCCATTTTTTGTTTGTTTTTTGAGATAGAGTCTCACAGTGTAGTCCAGGCTAGACTTGAACTCACTATGTAGCCCAGGCTGGCCTTGAATTTGGGATCCTCCTGCCTCAGCCCCTCCTGAGTGCTGGAATTATAGGCATGTGCCACTATACCCAGCCCCATTTTCTCTCCTGCACATGAGGAAAGCCTGGCTCCTCTGCCCTGGACCTGGTAGGAGCATCCACTCTAGGCTACATGGCTGCCTATGGGAGACCACAAGCCCCTTCATGGTCCCTAATGGCCCCTAAAGGTGGAGTGGGCATGTCAGATCCACACCTCAATCAGGACAAACCAAGCCAGGCAGCCTCCAGTGTCATTCAAATGAGGCACAGGGTCCTGTCACATGGGCAGACCTTGTGGTGACCTTGTTTTCCCTGTCTTTGCCCCTTTGTCTGGGTAGGTGATGTTTGAGAAGCTGAGCGACAAGGACAAGTTAAAAAGGAAGCCCGTGAGGTAGGCCCTGTGTGGGCCACTGAGTCACAGGCAAGGCGTTTGATGGAGAGGGACAGGGATAATTGTGCAGACTCTGCAGATCCCAAGCCTTCCCGCCGTGCCCCCTGGATTACCCCTGCCACCCCCCGCCCCCCGCCACGCCACGGGTCCATCACCCTTGCACTGACTCCAGGCTGCAGCTGTGCCTCCATAGGCTCCAGCTCCCAAATGGGCCAGGATCCCAACAGCAGGAATATGACTGGGTGACTTAGGACTCTGCGGTTCCTGCAGTCAACTTTGGCTTATTGCAATTTTAATATTGCTATCTCTATCTCTATAAGATTCCTTGGTCTAAAATGTGAAGTGGGTTGTTCCTTTAAAAACATGGTGATCAGCTTTGGGCTTGGCTGGGGATAGGCATATTCTGGTTCCAGAGTCACTGGGCATGCAGAATCATAGCTGGAGCCCCGACGTCAAAGAGCCAGAACACTTGGTGAACGCGAGTGAACAGCAGGTGGCTCTGGGTTATCGCCAAGAATGTGTTAGGTAGCAAGCACCCATCAAAGCCTTGGCTATATTAAAAAATAATTTGATTTGTGCAAAACCCGAGGGAGGGAGTGCTTTAGGGATGGGAAGAAAGTTCTTACTTGGATCAATACCAATGTTATCTTCAGCCTTTTTGTAGAAGATGCTCCCTCCGTTCTTGACAGCAGCAGTTTCCATGTCGCTATCTGTTCCTGCCCCAACTGAAGAATTGTATAAGACTAACAGGAGAAATCCCCAGACCTGAGCCTGGAGCTCAGAGCATTACTCCTCAGTGGGCGGAGTCTAGCTATGACCTTGGCCTCCAGTCTGGGCTCACATGGGTGGTGAAGGGATCCCCTGAAATTCGTGGGGTCAGGGGTACCCTGCCCCACTCCCTGCACAAGACTGAAGGAGAAGCTGGGCCACTAGGGAAGTGGGGCACTGGGGCAGGCTGCTGTCTTGCCTAAAAAGGTCAAGCCTGAAAGAAGCAAAGACAGGGACAGCTCTCTGGGGACTCACCTAGGCCTTTCAGACAATTTGGGAGGCTTTTGGCCATTATTTTCCCACACATTTCCTGTTCCTTTCTTGCTCCTTCCTCTTCTGGGATTCCCATTATGTCTCTGAAGCTCTGTTCATTTTTAAAATTATTTCTTCTGTCTGTTCCCCAGAATGACTAATCTCAATTGACCTATCTTCAAGTTCTTAGACTTTTTTCTTTTGCCTGCTTGCATCTGCTCTTGAGCCCCTCCATTGAAATTTTCAACTCTGGAATTTCTCCTGGAGAAATTCCTTTAAAAATAATTTTGACCCTTTTTTTTTTTTTTTTTTGGTACTGGACTTCGAACGTGGGTCCTTGTGTTTTCAAAACAGGCGGCAGAACCACTGAGCTAAATCCCCGGCTAATTTTGATCCTTTTATTGATATTATCTATTTCATGAAATATCATTCTTTAGTTCTTTAGATATGGTTTCTTTCAGTTCTTAGAATATATTTAAAATAGCAGATTTAAGATATTCACTAAGCCCAGTATCTGGTTTGGTAACATTTCAGAACTAATTTTGTAAAGTCTGTATTCCTTGTCATGTGTGACCACTTACATCTCTGTTCCATTAGCTTAGTGGTCAGTTAACAAGTTTCCTAAAATGTCTGGAACCAACACATCGGCTAATCACTGTGCACACCCACTGCCTTTTAGATTCCCAGGAATATACTGAAGCTCTTAAAAGCCACTTAGGGATGTCTCATTCTCCAGCTTTTTGGCTGACCTATCATTTCCCTCAACTGTTATCTCAGACTGCCATGATGTTAAACAGTTATCTCTAATTGTTTTAAGTGTCCCTTGGGAGACACTTTGCACTGGATAAGCTGAGAGATAGGTCAGTTAAAGACAACTTTGCAAGTGGGGACTTCTAGGGGATGACCAGCTGGGTCAGATAATGGCGCACTCTGAACAGGGCTGTGAAAGAGATGCAGCCCCATTCTGTCCTCAGACTGGCCGCCAGGCTGCTGGTCTTCGCTGACCATGGGATATTGGTTTTCAAACATAAGGTAGAACTAGGGAAGGGGAGAGGGAGTACAGCCAAGTTAAAACATCATAAATTCACTGTTTCTCCTGAGAGTCACCCATTTTTCTTGAATAAGCACTTGCTGGGTGGCTAGGTTTGGGTTAATTTCCTGGTTTCTGAAAATGTGAAATATGACAGTTTTGGGTTTGTTTTTTTTTGCCACCATTCTCATTGCTTTGATGGAGCAGAAAAATTTTGGAAGGGAGTTCTTTTTTTTTTTTGTTACCGGGGATTGAACTTGGGTCCTTTCGTTTGTGAGGCAGGTGTCTGAACCACTGAACTAAATCCCCGGCCTGGAAGGGAGTTCTTAACTGTCGTTTTTTTCTGATGTTATTCAACTTTAATATAGATAAATCACTGCAATATTTGGCTCATGTGCTACATTGTGTGCCATTATTGTAATTGTTGTTAATATTAAATGAGAGAACAAAGCTAGGCATGGTGGTGCACACCTGTAATCCTAGAACCCAGGAGGCTGAGGCAGGAGGATTGCTGTGAGTTTGAGGCCAGACCCTGTCTCAGAAAAATCAAGTAAAATCAAATAAATGAGAGAACTTGGATAAACCATCTTCCTCTCTCCAGAGGAGAGTGGTCCCAGGGAAAGCAGAAAGGGTGGATAGAGTAGGGAAAAGATGTTCATTTGTAGAGAAAACAGACAGGAAAAGGCAGGAACATGCTTGGAAAGTGCTCAGGGTCACAAGTGTGGGAACTGTGATTCACAGCTGGACTAGGGTGAGAAGGCCAGCACACAGACCGACTGCTGGGCCTCCAGGCCAGGCAGTGCCTGCCGGTCCCTTGCACCTGGCCCTCTTGCTTGTCTTTTCCCTGCGTGGTTTCTGTTCAGCACTCTCCTCATCTGCTCTGACTTTAAAAGGCAGAAGGCTTCAAGGACAGGTGTACAGGACCATAATGTGCATTCCTATGCATGGTCACTGGAGAACCTGCCTCGCCCTGCTCTGCCCTGCTCTGCCCTGCTCGGCCCAGGGCGTTGGCTGGATGATGCATCTGTTTATGAGTGTGTAGCAGCAGCCAAGGGCGTGGGCATCTGGACTATGTGATACCCTTCGAGCACTTGCCCACGCCTGTCAAAGCCCTCCACCCCAGGACTCAGTGTTTCCAAGACAGCTGGGTATTTACGAGTCTCTGTGTACCCAGCAGGGGTGAGTGAGGCTGGGGTACCCTGAAGCAAGCAGCGGCGAGGAAGAAAAAAGAGAGGAGCAGAATATGGGGTTTGGGCTCTTCGTCCTACATGCAGACTGCAAGATCTTTTGGGCTCAGCACTGATGCTCTTGAAGGGTGGATTTCAAGGAATAGCTGGTCTGATAATAGAAAGAAACACTTCTGAACATCAAGAGGGAAGTCATGCATACCCTGGCTACTGCCACCTAGAAGACACGACTGCAAGCACCACATGGGATCTTATGCTGCTGGGCCTGAGTTCTGTATTTTATAGAGGAGGAAGCCGAGGCTGAGATGAACCTCGTCACCCCCTAATAGTCAGGGGGGTGGTGGGAGATGGGGGTGAGAACCAGGCCCGATTCTCCATCAAGTGCTCTTTCATCCAGGCCACGCTTCCTTCACATGTCCTGAGGGGTCCATGTTTGCAGAATAGAGATCGGTCAGGCTCATGTAGGCTTCCTAGGCAAGGAGCTCACCTGTAAGTTGGCTGGGTCACATGGTAGCAAATCAAGGATTACCCTGAAATTCCAGGCATTTTAAGGAAAGCTGAGCAGCTCTAAGCAGCCTGAGCTAAGGGAAGGCTGCGCAGATGGACTGTGGGTTTTTACAAGGCAGGTGGCTTGTCGCAGCCATGTTCTGCCTCATAGACATGTGCCTGTGCTGTCGCTCCAGGCCCTGCACCCAGAAGGGCCCCATGCCTTCTTTCAAGCTCTGCTGTTACTGCTTAACATTCTTGGTAACTGGGAAGAGAGAACACTGTTTTCATTTTGCATGAGACCCCACAAATCCCATAGCAGTCCTGTGTGCCCTCCACGGATCCCACCAGCCTGAGTATACACAGTCACCCAGCCTGTTTCTGCAGGGAGAGAACGGAGCTGGGACACCTGTGAGTGACCACTGCTGGGGCCGGAAGGTCCTAGCCTGGCAGATCTGTCCCTCCTGTTTCTCCTTTCCTGCAATCTGCTCTTGGGGAGAAACCCCAAGCCTCCGCAAGACGGAAGTGACCAGAGACAAATTCCCTGGTTTTACAGCCCGGCTGTGGACACCAGCGCCAGCACCTTTGGTTCTGAGCTTCCTCCCCTTGCAGGGAGGGCTGGATGGCTGCTCAGTTCTGAGGCCGAGAAACCTGCCTCTTCTCCCTTGCGCAACTTCTCTGGGGCAAAGGGAAGGGCAAGAGGCACAGGGAGGGGAATGAGAAGTGGGTACGTTACCCCCAGACAGGGTGAGATGTCTGCAGCCCCTGTCCTCATTGGCATTCACTGCGATGCGTGCGGTGCAAATCCTCCAGAGGCCGAAGTGGGCTGCCTCGCAGGTGGTGTTGTGCTGCTCCATGTGGGGGCTCAGCACGGCCCAGTGGTCAGTCACCACGGCCACCATGGCCAGCACCATGCCCACCAGGATGCAGAAGAGGGTCACACGAACCTTCAGGGACTTGGTCTGGGACATGGTGGTCACTGAAGTCAGGGTTCTCTGAGAAGGGGCAGCGGCGTCTCCTGGGGTAGGTAGCGGCCTGATTAGCGTGGTGGCAGTGGCTTTGGCATGGGGGTGGAAGCTAAGTTTAGTGTGCCTGGCTGAGCCAGAGTGGGCTGGCCTTGGGGCTGAGGGACACTGGATGGGGCTGAGCAGCTGCCCAGACGTGTCAGGGGCCTGAGGAAGGCTTCTATTAATGCTCGCCTCCAGGCGCGTCACCGAGGAAGGCTCTGCTCAGGTTTCAGGGCTTTCTTCTCTCTCCTCTTGGAGACAGAAATACTCTGTAGTGGGGCAAGGAGAGAAGGCTCTAGATGGTGACCGGAAGCCTCTACTACGAGGTGGAGCTGGGAGGGGACAGGGAGGGCCCCTCTTGTTCACCAGGTGTGAGGGCTGAGGGATACTGTGGGGTGAGGGCAGAGAACCCTGGGAGACAGGAAGTGTCTTCATCCTGGGGCTCTGGGTATCCCAGAAACCTCCCTGGGGACCTCAGGGAGACCCCACCGACCTCCCACACAAGCCCCGCTTCATCCCTCCCATCACAGGAAGATTTCCCCTGTGAAATTTCCCAGGCTTGGTCTTCCCTGCTCTGACCCCGCCATGATAAGCTTAGTTTCTTTTCAGTTCTTTTCCCATCCCTGCTATTAGGTCCTGAAGGGAAGCTTCATTTGGGGATAGTACATCTTTAACACCTTTCTGACATTTGCAAACAGCCCTTTGAATTGGGGAGAGACCAGCCCGAAGGGGACAAGGGCCCAAGGGGCCTTGACTACAAGCTGTCTCATAGCAATTTTCAGTTTCATCTTCCATTAAGGGTAGGCAAAACACTTTCCAGTTACGTTTTCACCTATGAAATAAGCACGTACATAAAAATATAGGCCGATTCACAGGCACTGGGTGCACAAATACAGCAGAAAACATATGGAGGTGTGGGACCCCTGCCACGGGTCCTGCCTATTCCACACCCGCCAGGCTGGTCCTGAGGTCCCCGTTCCTATGGCCCTCCTGAGTTCTGCTGTGTCTTCTCTCTCAGGTGAGCAGGGGGCCCTCTTTCTGAGTCCAAGAAGTTGACACAGAACCAGAAATAGATCTCTGAACTGGGCAGGATCTTGAGCTTCAAAATCCAGGCCTCAGGTTGGTAGAGGTTATAGGAAGACTCTGCCCGTGAGCAGAGAAGCATTCAGGCATCCAACCTTGGACTCACAGAATCCACACGCTAATGCTAACTGTGATAACAGCCTGATTTTTTTGCCTCCAGTACTGGATTGAACCCAGGGCTTTCACACTGAATTACATCCAAGCCCTTCCATTTTTAAAAATTTTGAGACAAGGTCTCAGTCACTAAATTGTCCAGGCTGGGCTCAAACTTTCCACCCTCCTGCTTCAGCTTCCTGGAGTACTGGGATTACAGGTTTGTGGCACCATGCCCAGCTACAACAGCTCATTTTCAGTGAGTGCTCATTGTCTACCAAGAGGTCTGCTAAGCCTTTACATGTCATCAGAGTTAATCTTTTTTTTTTTTTTTTTTGAGACAGGGCTCGCTATGTAATTCAGGCTGGCCTTGAACTCACTACATAGCTCAGACTGGCTTTGAACTCAGGGCAATCCTCCTGCCTCAGCCTCCCAAGCACTGGGATTATAGGTGTGCGGCACCAAGCTTGACCATGAAAGTTAATTTTCACACTAATCCATCAGTGAGAACACAGAGGCTAAGAGATAGGCTGTGTGACATGTCCAACGTCACACAGCAAGGAAATGGTGAGGCCCAGTACCACAGTCCATAGCCCACTCTCTGAACCAGGGATCACAGCTGGGAGAAACCTTCAAGATCCATTGTGAGCCAAGGGGAATCCACAACCCAGAGAAAAAAATGTAAGCCAGGACTGGGCAGCGAATAGGCACCAGAACTGAGCGGAGACTCCAGCCATAAACTGGTGTTCGTGCTATTCCATCTCAACCTTCATTTTAATGAAACTAGCCTCCACCAGATAATAATCTCCAAAACCTCTCTCTAAACATTCTTCCTCTCTCCTTTCCTCCCTTGCTGCTCCCCACCCTGTGTTCCTAGTGGAGGCCAATCCATCAGAGCCAAGTGCTGACTGACCTGCAGACTCCTGCCACAGACCCTGTGAGGCTCAGTGACAGTGTGTGCCTGGGAGATGAATCCCCTCCCTGGAGAACTTCCGGATTTGGGAATGTGGCACAGACAGTCCTTTGCGCTGCTTGTGTAGACCCAGTTTCTGAAACCAGGAAGCTGGGGCTCTTGGGGATGCTGGGCAGCCTGGGGGAGACCTACTGTGTGCCAGGGACCCTAGTAAAGTTGCAGTCAGGGAGCCAGAAGATGGTTCTAGTGTTTTTAAGACACCACATCTTGAAAGAAGCTATTTAATTGTATCCTTACAAGTCAGTGGGGGTCATTTGAAGAAATACAAATGTATTCTGGATTTTCTGGTGTGGTGGGCACCCTGGGCTCCTGCTGCTGTCTCTGGAGGTCTTGGAAAATGCCCTGAGGTGACGTGGCACGTGGGCTCACTCAGTGGTGGCCATGATGACACTGTGGGCCAACAAAGAAGCCAGGCCTCCCTCAAGGAGGGCAGCTATGGGGCAACTCTTGCCACGCTTTCCCACGGCAGGGGGCCAGGTCTGTGCCAAATCCTCCGACCCAGCATGAGTGGGAGCATTAAACTTTGATGGCCTTTTCCTTTTGAAGCCCTTTGTGGAGGCCATGCCACTTTGCTGGCAGCTCTAGCGATTGCAGGCTGGTCTCCTTTCTCTTCCCTGTTTCCTAAATCTCCTCAAATAGACCTTTTCTGCTCACAAGGCTGCCATCAGGCTGTGCCTTTGCACCTCGAGGGCCTTACCGGGCCAGGAAGGGGGTGAGCAGCCATGATGACAAGCATCTGCCGGGAGCCAGGGTGGGCTATAGCCGTAAGGTCCCCTCGATGCTGCACTTCCCGGGGCACTGGGCAGGAGGTGTGGGGAGGCAGCAGGAGAGTGGGCAAAGCTTGGTAGGGACTGAGCCAGCAGCTGGGATCACAGCCTGCTGCCCGCTGTCCAGTGGTGTGGCTTCCACAAGTCCCAGAGCCTCTCTAAACTGCCCTTTCTTCCTGTCAAGTGAGAGCAATGGGCCTGGAGGGGCCAGGATGAGGAGTAGTGACAAAGCATTTTACCAGCTAGTGTGTGACAGGTGCCACAGGCTGAGTGGTGTCCCTGAAATTCCTGTGTTGAAGCCTCCAGTGTGACAGTGTCTGGAGGTAAGGCCTTTGGGGTGAGGGTGAGGGCGGGGTCCTCACGGTGGCATTATAAAAGGCACTCTGTCTCACTGTGCCATGCAAGGACACAGCCAGAAGGCCGCTGTCTGCAATCCGGGGGGGGGGGGGCTGGCCCCACAGCCTCAGACTCCCAGCCTACACACCTCTGAGAGGATACTTTTCTGCTGCCCAAGACACCCAGCTCATGGCAGCCTGTTATGGCAGCCTGAGCAGCAACTGGTACAGGATGGCTGTGACTACTGTTGCTGCTATTACTGTGTGTGGACTATGGTTGGATAGGTTTTGCCCAATAGACGGTAGGCAAGGGTTCAGAGGCTATGTTATATATTCATTCTAGGTCTACCCTGTGGGCCTACCCTGTCTCCAAACCTAGGCTAGGAATCTCATCTTCATAAATGCTTTTGTGTGAGTGTGTGACACTGGAGACTGAACTCAGGGCCTTGGGGCTGAGCTATATCCCTAGCCCTTTTCATTCTTTAAATTTGAGGCAGTAATCTCACCAAGTTGCCTAGGCAGGACTTGAACTTGCAGTCCTTTGTCTCAGCCTCCCAAGTGCTGGCATGGATGCTTACTGAATGACTGTTGGTTGAATGGATGGATGGATGAACAGAGAATGACAGAAGGGGACAGAAACTCAAACACTTTATTCTCCCAGATGAGCTGAAGGACATTTCCATGTGGTTTAAGGTCACGGGGACCTAAGAAATGGTCCCAGGGGCAGATCTGGGACCACCTGGACTGATGGCTCACTCATCTTTAGGTGCTGAGGCTGTCTTAGGAGGACGTGATCGTTTTCTGTGCAGTCAAATTCAAAAAGAAGCCACCTCCTGAGATCCAACGTTTCCACAATCTTCAAAGTGAGAATGTCACACTCAGCTCCTTCAAAATGAATCTGTTTTCATTTGTCCTAAAAAATTGCTCTTTTCCCAAGAAAGACCAGAATATAATGAAGGAAGGAAAACACTGCTTCCCAGAGGTGAGCTTTATTCTGAAGCCCAGACCAGGGTCAAATAAACATTCTTTGGTAATGAGCTGATCTGATTTTGAGCTCAGGTTTAATTAGGCTGAGGAATGGCTGGAGCGTTTAATTTTAAGATTAAAATAAAGAAGGGAACCCCCCCACCCCGCCGGCTCCCACCCACCCTATCTCCCAGCGCCACTTCATCTCCCCCCTCCATCAGGCTCAGGCTCACAGCCCCTCAGTTCCATGCTGGGAGACTCCAACCAGGGGGCCCCAGATCTGTGCATCACCTGCTCTTCCGGAGCACCCTTCCCTGAGCTCCCAAGGAGGCAGGCAGCTAGACAGCAGATGCAGGTTTAATAAAGCACAGGCCCAGGGCCAGGGATTTAGCTCAGTGGTTCTGCCGCTTGCCTGGAAAGCACAAGGACCCGAGTTTGATCCCCGGTACCAAATAAGTAAATAAATAAATAAACAAACAAACAAACAAAGCACAGGCCCTTCATTCCGCAAAGTAGGAAATGGTGCCTGGCCTCAGGGAAGTTTGGGAAGGGCCTCTTTCCAGCTCACGCACCCCTGACATGCCCTCATCCTGTTCACACCGCCCCACCCCTCTGCCCCAGCAACTCTCCTCTCCCCACTCCCAAGCTTTCTGGAAAACTTTCTGGACAACCCTGATCCCAGGCCCTGAAGCCCTACAGCACCCAAGGCAGGTTAGGCTCCCAGGGACTCCCCCCCACCCCGCAACGCTCCCCACACAGCAAATGATGCGCTCCCAGCCCTTGAAAAGCCCACATGATACTAGGGGGCGCTGAGGGGCTCCCTGGGCAGAACTCACCCAGT